ACAGGCACCCCCACCAGCTCCTGCAGGCAGCCTGTAGCCCAAGACTAAGGAAGGGCAGCAGCCCCAGAGTGTGTATGTGTGTGTTGCGGGGGAGGAGCCAGCAATCCCAGAGTTTGTGGGGGAGACACAGCTGCCCCAGAGCTGGGCGGGGGCTGCAACCCCAAAGCTGGGGGAACAGCAGCTCTGGACCCAGAGGGAAAATAGTGGGTTGGGCAGCTGCAGAGCCAGTGTGACAATAGCTCCAGAGCCGGGGGGACACCCCAGAGTTGGGTGACAGGAGTTCCATAGCTCGGGTAGCAGTAGCTCCAGAGCTCTGGGCAGACAGCAGCCAGAATCAGGGTAACAGCAACCCAAGAGCTGGGGAGGGAGAACAGCAGCCCCAGGACTGCCCTGAGAAGGACAATTTTTGTTTTTGTTTTTGGACAATTTTTTAAAATGCTGTGTCGGATCAAATCCAGCCAGCGTACAATCTACATTTAAGACCAAAAAACCTAGATAGATAGATAGATAGATGAACTTTAAAAAAGGCAATCTTTCTAAAAACGTACCAAAAGAGTAAAAATAAAGTTTTCAGCTACCAATGTAGGAGAGAGATTGGATGGCTAAGTTCGAATCAACGTAGTTGCTAATTGTTAGCCATCCAAGCTTTCTCCTGCATTGGTGGCTAAAACTTTATTTTTACTCTTTTGGTGCGTTTTTAGAAAGATTGCTTTTTTAAAAAGTTTTTTTAAAATATATTTTGTATTATTTAACACGTTATTGTTAGGCTGTGTCTAGACCGGCAAGTTTTTCCTCAAAATCAGTTGCTTTTGCGGAAAAACTTGCCAGCTGTCTACACTGGCCCCTTGAATTTCCGCAAGAACACTGACTTCCTACTGTAAAAAATCAGTGCTTCTTGTGGAAATACTATGCTGCTCCCGTTCGGGCAAAAGCCCTCTTGCGCAAATCATTTGTGCAAGAGGGCCAGTGTAAACAGCACAGTCCTGTTTTGCGCAAAAAAGCCCCGATGGCTAAAATGGTGATCGGGGCTTTTTTGCGCAAAAGCACATCTAGATTGGCACGGACGCTTTTCCGCAAAAAGTGCTTTTGCAGAAAAGCGTCCGTGCCAATCTAGACGCTGTTTTCCGCAAATGCTTTTAACGGAAAACTTTTCCGTTAAAAGCATGTGCAGAAAATCATGCCAGTCTAGACGTAGCCTTAAAGTTTTGGGCTTATATTGTAATCAGGAAAGAGCTGTGACAACAACTGACATCACTAGGTGGCACCATTGCCTTATTTACAACTTGTTTAGTTTCTGCAATCTATATTTAAACATAACCTCTCCTTTTTCTCTTCCTTCTTTCCTTCTGTACCTTTGCTAAAATTATTTCTAGATCCCTTTAATTGAACTACCTGAGTAATGACACGCGTTGCCGAAGCCTCTTAAAATAAAACTGCAGATTTCACAGTTCACAAGTGTCATCACCTCTGTGAAGTACAAACCTTTCTTCATCACAGAAACTATTAAATGTCCCTCTCCATGTATTTCAACTACTGATACTAAGCTAATGTCACTTTCACTCTGGCAGCAAATAAAATCAAAGATATCAAATAATAATATCAAATAATATCAAAACAATAATCAGTACAACTTCTTAGTTACATAGCATCTTTTACCAGACTTTAAAGGACTTTACATAGGTGGATATTATTATCCCTGTTTTGCAGGGACATGGCCCCATTGTCCCAAATTATGTATCTGTATAACCTTCTATTGTATAAATCACACTGCAGGGTGCCTATCTTCCCCACTCCTATCGATTAAAATACTAACAGACTCTCATCACCTCCACGGCAGCGCAGATGTCTGGAGAACACAACTCCCATACACGTAGCTCATTCAGCACCTTCAGAAAGGTGCTGGGGCGGATTCTCACATCTGGGTTCTTGCCAAACTTTTCCAGTTTCTTTAAGATTCTCTGTATGTGATTGTCATTCTTCAGAGTGTTCGGAATTCTGGACAGCAAACTGGAAAACCTAAAATAGCCAATACAGCAAAGCAAAGCTGAAAAAATGCTCTTGAAACTGATGGCTACACTGCTGGGTACCTCCGTCTTTCCTGATTTATTTCCTGCTCCTTCTTCTTCCCTTCCCCAGAATTTGAGAAAAAAAAAGTCTTTGTGGAAATCTGCACTGAGCATTACATGCCAGGGAATGATGCAAAGAAGCTTTGTTTCTGCTGTTAACAGAAGTGTACACCCAACCTTTTTTGATTAGTCATTTACATTCCAAGAGACAAACTTTTGGCATGAATGCAAAGAATAAAATACTGACAAATGTTTCTATGTTACTTCTGATTTGCCCTGTTCATCTCTTTCTTCACTCTCTTTATAGATTTTCCAAAGCAATCGCAGCCTGGTCTGACACACTTCCTGATTTTCTTTACTGTCCCTTTTCCCCTTGCTGTCACCATATCCCCCTCCCCCCCGTATGTGCTGACATAAATCTTACTGATGTGAGTGTGCTGTAACACTCAATCTTTGCCATTTTGTTCTGAATATGGAGTCTCAAGAGGAGAATTACACATTATAACAGTAAAGCTCTTGTGAAAAGACACATTTTTTTAATGTCCTGTGTAAAAAATTTTAGTGCTACTTTGACAAACCCGGAGACTGATGTCTCTAGACCCTCCAGGCTGTGTCTGGGGAAGTATGGAACCTTTTCCCCTGGCCTCCCTCCAGCTGAGGATAAGTATCAGTACAGCTAGATCTACACTATCAGGTTTTATCAGAAAAAGCTACGCAAATTGCACTCTGTAATTTGCATAGTTTTTTCTGATTGTTTTTCCAGAAGGGCCAAATGGCAGAAAAGCCTCCGTTTGCAGAGGAGCCCTTATTTCTTATGAGATGAGGAATACGGGGCTCCCCAAAAGAGCACGTTTGCTCTTCTACGAAAAAAAGTGGAAGAGCAAACACGTTCCCTGGACACGGCGGGGTTTTCTGGGTTACTTCTAGGATCCCAGAAAACCCCCACAGTGTAGACATAGCCTATTTCAGCAGCAAAAAGAGGGTCTTAGGAGCAGAAAGAGGAGACAGGGTTGAGCTACACTAGAAAGTTACCCCCCTTTAACTGTGCTGGTATAGATAAAACAGTACAATCTCCCTAGGCCTTCTCTACACTGCGAGGGTTTTGTCAATATAGCTGTAAAGTCAAACTGGAAAAAACCCTCCAGCGTGGACAGGGGAGCTGACAGGATCACCGGGCCCCTGGGAAATATGTGTGTGGGGGGGCCCAACTCTGTGCCTCCCCAAGGGACAGGGCCTGAGATGGAAAGGGAGGGGCTAGGGCAGCCAGGCACTCCTTGACGTCCCCTGCCAGCCCTCACAGCTGCCTGGAGCGTGTGGTGCAAGGCCTTGGAATGTGCTGCTGAGCACTCTGGCAGTGATTCTAAAGAACCTGGGGGTGCTGGCTGCTACCCACGGCTGCAGAAGTGGCGGGGGTTAGAATTGCTGGACCCCAGGGAAACTGCCCCCTCCCTGCGGGTGGACACAGTCATGTTTGTATAAAAGTGCTTATAATTGGTACTATGCTAGCTGCCCACGTAGGGCTAATCGACACTGCCAAGCCTGGGCAGGCAGAGCTATTTACAAGCGAAGACCCACAGAGGAGATGCAGCGTAAGCCAGCAAAAGGAATTCTGCCTGCATAGAGACACTACGTCTGCTAGTGACATTAGCTAAGCTGACAGGAGCACTCTTCTATTAGCTTAGGGCTGTGTCTACATTGGCACCCTTTTCCGGAAAAGGGATGCTAATGAGACCAGTTGGAATTGCAAATGCCGCGGGGGATTTAAATATCTCCCGTGGCATTTGCATGAACATGGCTGCCGCTTTTTTCCGGCTCAGGGCTTATTTCCTCTTAAAATCAGGAATAAGGGATCTTCCGGAAAAGGCTTTATTTTCTGAAAGATCCCGTCTAGACTGGCTCTTTTCTCCGGCAAAGCCCCGAGCCGGAAAAAAGCGGCAGAATTGTTCATGCAAATGCCGCGGGGGCTAACTGTGATTTTTTTTCACACTTCTATCCGTCATAACTCTGCAGCAACGCTTTGCAGTGCAGATCAAGCTTTTTACAGGTATAACTGCACTTGCACTGAAGCTTTTACTGGCATAGCTATCTTGCTTTAAAAAAAAAGTAAATCACACCCTCGCTATCCACAGGTATTCCAGGGAAACTTTTAAGTGTAGACCTGGATTTAGTGTGGTTGCGATTATAGAAGTAAAAAGACACTCTGCTCCCCGACAGATATTCTTGTATGTGAATAACCATACTCTTATAAGGCTTCTTTATATTTGTATACCTTAGTCCACACTAGGCTTTGTACAGATAGAATTACAGCAATAAAATAAAATCACACAATGAAAATAGTACAGATTCCAAGCTTAGACCAGATCTTAAATTTGGGAGGCAGGTAGAGTGAGTAACAATTAAAAATGCAGCTTTTCTAAATAAACCAGCTCTCACTTTTAATGCATTTAAGGTTGGGGTCAGCTGAGAAAAAGCATTTGGAATGTAGACTCTTAACACAAAAAATATTCTGTCACTTTACTTCTCTCGATTTACTAAGGGAAGACTGAAACTGGATCCCTATTTTTGGTGCTCTTCGATATTGGCTGTAGCTCTGCAGGAGTGCTTTACTGAGAGGCGTCTGCTTAACTCGTAGTGACAATGCCTTTTACCCCTGGAAAGGATGCAGTCAATATCTGTGTGCAGTTTATAAACAGTAGCAGTGAAATGTTTTCCAAATATGCATGATGGACAGACAGCTGTGGATAAAGTCCTCTCCATCATCAACATTGCTAATAGGAATACACGTTTTCAACATGACATCATGTATGTATCGATCATAGAATCATAGAACACTAGAACTGGAAGGAACCTTGAGAGATCATCGAGTCCAGTCCCCTGCCTTAATGGCAAGACCCAGTACTGTCTAGACCATCCCTGATAAATGTCTGTCTAACCTGCTCTTAAATATCTCCAGAGATAGATATTCCACAACCTCCCTAGGCAACTTATTCCAGTGATTCACCACCCTGACAGTTAGGAAGTTTTTCCTAAAGTCCAACCTAAACTTCCCTTGCTGCAGTTTAAGCCCATTGCTTCTTGTCCTATCCTTGGAGGTCAAGGAGTACAGTTTTTCTCCCTCCTCCTTGTGACACCCTTTTAAACCCGAAAACATCTATCATGTCCCCTCTCAGTCTTCTCCTTTCCAAATTAAATAAGCCCAATTCTTTCAGTCTTCTTTCGTAGGTCATGTTCTCTAGACATTTAATCATTCTTGTTGCTCTTCTCTGGACTTTCTCCAATTTCTCCACATCTTTCTTGATACGTGGTGCCCACAAGTGGACACAATACTCCAATTGAGGCCTAATTAGCGCAGAGTAGAGCTGAAGAATGACTTCTTCTGTCTTGCTCACAACATTCCTGTTCATGCAGCCCAGAATCATGTTTGCTTTTTTTGCAACAGCATCACATTGTTGACTCATATTTAGCTTGGGGTCCACTATGACCTGTAGATCCCTTTCTGCTGTACTCCTCCCAAGACAGTCGCTTCCTATTCTGTATGTGTGAGACTGATTGTTCCTTCCTAAGCGGAGTACTTGGCATTTGTCCTTATTAAACTTCATCCTATTTACCTCAGACCATTTCTCTAGTTTGTCCAGATCATTTTGAATTTTAACCCTATCTTCCAAAGCAGTTGCAACCTCTCCCAGCTTTGTGTCATCTACAAACTTAATAAGGGTACTCTCTATGCCAATATCTAAATTGTTGATGAAGATATTGAACAAAACTGGTCCCAAAACAGACCCCTGCGGAACCCCACTTGTTATGCCTTTCCAGCAGGATTGTGAACCGTTATACAATGTGCCCTGTCATCCTAAGGATCCCAAAGTGTTTTAAGACCATATGCTTCCTATAAGGCCGTATGCTGGAGATGGAGAGAAGATGCAGCATTGCCTGGAGACATCAGACTTAACACAGAGTGGGTACGTCTACACTACAACGTTAATTCGAACTAACTTAGTTCAAATTAGTTAATTCGAACTAAGCTAATTCGAACTAACGGATCTAGACTAAAAAACTAGTTCGAATTAGCGTTTGCTAATTCGAACTAGCATGTCCACATTAAGTGGACCCTGAACCAGGCTTAAGGATGGCCAGAAGCAGTGCCAGCAGGGCATCAGAGGAGGACTTAGAGCGTGGAGATGCTGTCTCAGGCTAGCCGAGGGCTGTGCTTAAAGGGACCCGACCCCCACCCCGGACAGACAGTTCTCAGGGGTGCCCCGCTTGCAAAGCAGTCCTGGCTTGGA